GGGACTACCTGAATGGTTGATGTGAAGCGATCACAGCATTATTCTAGTCACATACACTAAAAATACCTTTGTTTGATGATCCTCGACCTTGGATCCAAAAGGAAGACATGACTCCGGTAACTTTTCAGTGCCGATTTTACAGAAAATAACATCAGCAAAACCCATTTCGTAAGTGAAAGGGAAATATGGATTAGAGTGCACGCCATAGAAGTACTGAAGAGACTCATAGATCTTCAACAAATAATGAAACGCTTCAAAAAGGTAAAGCAAAATCAAAACACACCCTATGTATTGATGCACTGCGAGCAGCCAAACGGGATTGACGAGAACGCGTCTCTACTCCACCGGATTTCGGCTGATGAAGAATCTAAAAAGCAAGACAGTAAGAAAAATGTGCAGTATAACCTAATGAGGTTCTAAACTGAGCGCACATTCCGTTAATGGAGGGGGACATTGAAGTTAGTGAATCATTTACAGTCTGGAACTGAGCCTTAAGGAGGGAGGGGGAGGGTTGGGGGATGACGTGAGCAACCTTTGTTCTCCCTGGCGTTTCTTCCCTCTCCTGAGCTAGTCTTACTCTCACCTAGCAGTGATTTTTGAATGCCTTGCTTTGAATGTCCCCTAGCTATAAGGACGCTTTCATAGGGTGTTACGATGGTACGCTATTAGGTACGTATCCATCGTTCGATCATTTATCACGTCCAACGATCGATACGTACCCAATGCTGTGCGTTCGGACGACTGACTACGAAAGCACCTAAGGCCATGAACACTCTAAATTACTAGAGTTAGGCCCAAACAAAATAAGTTGATACCAAAATATTACATCTGAGTTTGATCAAAGGAATTCGAGTTTTTTCTTGATAAAGAAAGGGGAATGGAAAATATGTTTAAATGTAAGTAAAGTACTACCTTGACAAAAGTGGGCAAATCTCGTTGCAATTCATTGTAAAGGCGTTCATGGTCGAGTACAACGACAACGTCAACCTCGAATGCTTCAGCAGCTGATACAATGCAAGCATACCTAAAATATTCAATGAAGAATGGGTGTTTGAGGACTTCAGCAATCTTTATACCCTCAAACTACCTATAAAGTACTATATTATGCCTAACACTTACATTACGGAGCATGCAAGGTGAGAGCTCTAAGGCTAAGCTCCTTCAAGGCTTAGTCTTAGGACTGTCACCATGCATGAAATACCCACTCTGAAACTCCCCTCCCGGTGTATGGGGGTCTGGACTAATTGTTCTTTAAGGGGCGGTCTCATATTGCATGGAACATTGTACGTTATTGCAACTATGTCGGAAGTTGGACGGCGGGTGGCGAGCAGGGGGGCGCCGTGCTCGGAGGCGGAACCATTTGTTGAGCGGATTATTAATAGATGACACGGAGCCCTATGGATACAGCCACGTCGACAGTTCTCCTCGGGAAACTTTTGATGGTCAAGTGGAAGATGTTTGCTGGTAGAAGATGATGAACCATGAAGTTGAGGAGAGGTCCGCGTCTCAGGTGGTCGGTGGGCTCATTGTTTTTCTGAATCCCGGACTTAGGTCGTTGCGTTGGAAACGCATAACTGGTATATGCCATTTTTGCGTTCCAGTATTCAAAAGAGTTGGTGAATGGAGAGGATAGTGAACAAGCTGCTTAAAGCGGAATTGCCTTGATGGTAATCTCGGCGAGTTCGGTTCGGGGCCGAAAGTATTAAGTGAGTAGAACAGCGAGGGGCGAGCGAGAAAGAGAAGATTAGCAAGATAGAGGAAGGATGTGGCGAGGAAGCAAGGGAAGTTCATGTGACCAATGTTTGTGTATGCGGTTCTGTGCTATACTTGGGTGGCTGGATCCCTTTGTTCGTTTGATGGCTTGGTGTTTCATTAGGAAGGAAGAAGAGGGGTTCGAGTGGAGAGGAGTGGACGTGGTGTCGTAGAGGGTGAAGAGGGTAGTGTCAAAGGGCGAGTGTTAAGCGCGACGAGCGGGAGCCAGCGTGTACCTATTGATCGCTGAAGTCCACAGATCAGTCGTCGGTGATATGATGAGTGATAAGGGGTCACGTGTCAGACCAACGACGCCTAGATTGTATGGATGTGCGGGGTACATCGCTGAGTGTTCGTGTGGGTTTGGGGTGTGGATGGGTGTGGGGGGGTTGGGGGGGGGGGGGGGGGGGAGGGGGGGGGGGGGGGGGGGGGGGGGGGGGGGGGGGGGGGGGGGGGGGGGGGGGGGGGGGGGGGGGGGGGGGGGGGGGGGGGGGGGGGGGGGGGGGGGGGGGGGGGGGGGGGGGGGGGGGGGGGGGGGGTGGGGGACGGAAGTTCGGCAGTTATGTTTCAACCGAGGGTATGGTATAGGATTTTTGCAGGGTGAGTTTGATGCCCGAGATATTGGTCGATGCGGAGTAAGAATAGGAATGTATTGTTCCAGATGTTACTTTCACCGGGAGGGATTTTAACAGTATTGTGTACCGACAAGAGAAGTTGTAAGGCGACTTGGTGGAACGCAGATGGCTGTTCGATCTGTCGAATCCTTCGACAACGTCCGCAGTTTTGTTGATGAAAAGAGCACCGATCGTTCCAGGAACGGAAATACTCCCCTAAAAGTACCGTCACAATGAATGTACGCCATAACTGAACAAATTACAGAAATACCTGGCCAACGTCGAGGTCAATGAATACTGGAGACCTTCCCTGTCTTACTGCGTAATTGCAAAGAATTCGGCACACTGTTGTTTTACCCACATCAGTCGGTCCAACTAAAATTGTATAAACATCAATTGAAGCCCTCCAACGAAATCAGGACATACCTACAAATCTGGCTATATAAACACTTTTGAGACAGAGGAGCTATTTTCTCTTGTCCACGCATAAAAGCAAATTCTCTTAAACCGTTTTTGGGATTGCGATCTTTTATTTCATTTGGTCCAACACTGGCAATGTACCACGATCGAGAGGTGGTACACTGACAGAAAACTTAGATATTTTAGTAGATAAAAGTAGCAAAATAAATTATGAGGTGATAAATGATAACGTAAGAGACGCTCAAAGTGCAATTGTTGGCCACCAAAATGAACTGAGTAAGCGTCACTTTGAAGCCAAGGAACTAAGCATTGCAATAGAATTAAATCTCAAGTGAAAAGGAATATTACCCAGCATTATTCTTGGGCCCTTTGGGTTTTCTGTGCCATCAACGGCCACTTGCTCCTCTGAGTGCTGCCTGAGCTGCTCGAGTGCTGCGTGAGTATTCAGATAGATTACCTGAATGTCGAAAATCCTGATGACGCTATGAAACACCACAAGCACTTACCATGGGAGTGTGTTCAGCAACGTAAGCGCTGTTGGTAGGACCAATCAATTCAACAGTCGCTCCTTTCCAGCTGAATACAGCAACACGAGTATCTAGAGTATTACAAAAGGAAGTTATGGGGAAGTAAGTACGCACCAAGAGCGGTAAGGCCGACGTCATACTTTGCGATTCGATTAGCGATTCGCAAAGTATGACGTCGGCCTAAAAAGGAAAAAGCCAAATCGATTTTTAACTCCATTTTAAGTCAAGTAGAACAACACCACAAAAGCCGAAACGCAAAGCTCGAGCTTTTGAAGTTTCTGTTAAAGAACTCATATTGGATCTGAGTTACATGCAATTGCTCGTCCTTTAGCGTCAATCGCTGCTATAACTACTTGCCCGTTTTCTGTTGAAGTTTCGATTTCTTTAGGGGCTAGTGAGTTTACTTCAAAGAAATTAGTGTTCAGAAAAACTCAGAGTTCCTCAGCTTTGTGCGAACCTCAACAGCTCTACTTGGACCTGGGAAAGTCATAGAAACATTAGATAAACTGATCAGATGGATAAACTCACTAGGAGGAAACGCGTATTTTTTATGCATTTCTAGCTCAGTACCAAAAACCTCTGCTCTTCCTTGAAGAAGCTCGAGCACAACTTCTGTGCTTCCAACCTGAAATCACAGTAAGATCATCAATCACCAACACTTAAAGATCTTAAATATGTGGGCTCAAAAGGTCGAAACATGGCAAGGTTTTGATCACGGAAAGAAAACCAAAAGCATATAATTCTGAAGCTGACCTCAAACCTGAGCTCGTGGTCCTCCTTAAGGGCGAACTCTTGCACCTTGGGATCTTCAGACATTGTCAATAAGCGTTTTGCACACTATGGAGCGTCTGAATTCTGGAAAGGCCCAGCCAAACCAATAAAAACGAAATACAGCCGCTAACAGAGTTTTTCCCGCGGCAGCGCGGCGGTTAGAATTGGAGCGCGGCGATTGATTGTCAATACTGGCGCAGTCGTCAAGGCTTTGGCAATTTTATCCAAGCTCGAAAGTTTGATTATATAACATCTAGAGAGTCTTTGGCCGTAATTCAGGTGATTCGATGGTTTACAAAACTTACTTTCAAGACATCTCCCATGGAAGGAGAATGTGGGAGTGGGATCAAAAGGAAATTGGAGCGGCAACTGGAGCAATATGGAAATGAGCAAATCAAGCTTTCAAGGACACTAAACCAGCTCTCTGTAGTAGTGCTTTAGGCAGTGGGAAGTTTACCAACCAAAAAGTATTTGGAGCCTGAGTAAGGACCAAACGAAAAGAAACAACGAAGGGGCAGCATCCTCGTTATGCTTACTAAAGAGTGAAATGTATTTTTATAGGGTTGTGAATTTTAATCCATTACTGATGAACATCAACGACGTAATCAAGGTGAGCCTACTCATATCTGAAGTGCGTTAAAAGAACAAAGACGGGAAGGGCTCAATGACTCACTTCTAGAACGAAAAATCACTGTAAGGCCGATGAGAGACTTTGCGAACCGAGCGATTCGCAAGCGTTCGCGGTCACGTCGCGGCCAGTGAATCGCTCGATTCGCAAAGTCTGACATCCGCCTGAGGGATGTGCCCCTTCACAACAATTAGGAACGTTGCAACCTATGCTAATGGTAAGATGGATTTTCGGTGAGTTGGAGCGTTGACTGTGGAATCCCAGCATTGATCGGTCCGACTCACAAATTGATTAAACGGTGAGTTGTGTAAATGGAGTGGTATAGTTCCACCAGTTCAGGAGTAACAAGATAATAACGGAGCTTCATCGCCTCGCCCTTCATTGTCATTATTGTGCAATTTATTCGCCACCGAGCGAAAATGGTCGCTCACAACATTCCGTGGAAATGAGATTCCAAGGCAGCTGACCATCGATTCACTTCCGTGTTCAAGGGCTGCCTGTATAAGCTCTTGTGAAGTTCTTAACTGGCGTTTATCCGCATGGTTCTCAATGACGAAGATGAACCTGAAATATTTTAAGGGAATACGACCTTCTTCTTCTCCCTAGCGTTAATCCCGCGTAGTCGTAGGGTCCGCTGTCACTAT